GAAACAAGGCAAATTTTAAAACAGACTCTTGAATCCCTATTTGGGTTTCTTCTGAAACCCTAATTTCTACCTACATCTCCTAGATCTGTACAATTTTAAAACGATTTGAGTTTGCTTTTTTGATGTTTTACACTATCCTTTTAACTCTTTACAAGAACCATGTGATTTCAAGAGTTTTCATCTTCTTCTAAAATTAGGGTTTTCGGAACTTCTTCTGAAACTTTATTTAAACTGATTTTTATGTTTAAACTTCTATTTTTTCGCATACTTCGACTGATTCTGTGAGTTTACTACCTCTTCAACTTGCCTATGTTAAAAGACCTAATTTTTCTAGGGTTCTTCATTTGATTTTGTGACTAGCCTGTTCTTGTTTGAGTTTTTATGACTATTTCACTTCGAATGTGTTTCTACTGAGTTTCTTATGCCTAACTTATATCACCTCTGTATGTTTGTGTTCATCTTGATTGGTCAATATTTGCCTCTTTGCTTGCTGTGTTTGATTATTCCTATTTCACTCCTTTTATATACTAAAATTCTCTCTTTGATTGACTCTGAACTCCTTGTTTCTTGGCTTGATTTGAAAACTTTCATGCAAACTTACAATTTTCCTGTTTTAACTTGTTACTCTCCTTAAGTCAGTGATTTCGAATCCCTGATTTCCTGACTTACTATGTGCTGATATTCGATTATTTCCATATTCTGAAACTTTACTTTGTTTTATTACCTTATTTGGTTAACCGAGTACTTTACCGATTCTTCATTAGTCGTTTCCTTAATTAAACCCCTATGACCTTACCCCTAATTGTCTATTCTATACCTTATACTCTACTTGATTTATTTCCTTGATCATTCCTGCCTGTTACCGTTGGTTGATTACCCCTTAATTAGAGGAATGCTTGCATTGATTTGATTCTGATTAGTATTTGGTTCCATAATTACTATGCTACTATAATTCTTGCCTTATTGTTATCTAATTTCAAACTACTATATATACTCACTCTCTCATTAACACAAACACACGAACACTTTGGTTCAAAAGCTCTCTCTCTCACACTTAAACTTTCTGCTCTCTCTTTTGTGCTACTTTCAATTATTCTGAGTTAGCCGGCTGCAAGCCAAGGCTAACTCTTGTGCTCTCCTGCTCCTTCACTTTTGTTTACTGTCTTCTTTACTGGTATTTTCTAATTTCAATTCAAAGTTCCAAAAACAATATGGTTCTTTTATTACTTCAATTCATCTTGTTTCTAGTATGCTTTTACTTATGGTTTTGCTGTGAAACTTGCAGTTAATATGATTACATGAATAGCATGTTATGTACTCCTCTTCCTTAGGATCAGTATAAACATGTTACCCCCCTATGTAGTCTATCCCTATGTGATTTTGTTCTATCTGGTTTCTGGTATGAGTCTCCTTGTGAATTAGTCTGCACTCCTAAACTTGTATGGTTCTTAGATTGACCTGAAATCATGTGGATCATATACTAAAACCCCTTAAGCATTACTGGTTATGTGACTATGTCTGATCAGTTGTGTCTAAGCAAGTCTGTACCAATTCCTAAGACCTCTGCCTGTTATGTGTTCACAATCATGTGTTCTATGTATCCCCAATCCCCATCACCCCTGTATATAGGTTTGTTCCTTCTGTTTTGGTCCTGTGAGTATTGCTGATGTGATTTTGGACTCCATGTTTGATTTACCGTTGTCTAATCATATAACTCTCTCTTTCCAAAGTTGTCTTATTGCATGACTCCCTCTTTTACTCCACAAACTATTTCAAACAAACCTCCTTTTTATATTGTTTTCCTGCTGAAACCTTTCAAACTTTGTCAAGCACTCTCGCTCTACTCCTAAGTCAATAGGTTCTTCCCCCTCCAGTACGTGTACTGCCTTGGGATCCTATTGAGAACCCTTTGAACTCTGGCATACTGAGGCTGGCCATTCTACATTGCACTTATTCAATTTTGGTTATCAAGTCCAGGTGTAAGCACTATCCGGGATCCTTGAGATCCTTAGGGAACTTTGATGCACCTAGACTATGACATTGCCTCTAGAATTTGAGCATTTGAGGCTATTGGAGGCTTTGGAAATCTGGGCCTATCTGTAGGCTCCCTATAAAATAACTTCTTATTTTCTTATCTACTTATGTAATTCATTCATATGGTCTGTAATAATTTGTAAACGAATATTGGGGCAACTAGTGAAAAGGGTGGGTAGTTACATATTTGTGGGGTAATACGGGTAGAAACCATGCCAATAGGACTTTAAAGTTTTTTCTATTTTTGCCTTACCATGTTAGAAATCATGTCTATAGGTCTCCAGTGATTCCTTAGTATAAATCATGCTTATGGGTCTTAAAACCAACTTCACAAGTAGATGTCATGCTTCTAGGATATAACCCAATCCAACTTCTGTTATAACAAGTGTTTATATGTGTTTTTCATTTGTCACCATACCTGCAATGTTTCTAAAATTAGTATTAAACAAATAGATATCATGCCTATAGCGGACAACACCAGAAATTCTGCCTGTCGGGCTAAACTAGTTCAGTTTAAATAAACCAACAATTAGTTCACTTCTAAACCAGTTTAATTAAGTGGTCTATTTTCCCTAAAACAAGTTCTTTCGAAAACTGCCTTAATCTATCATGAGACAACATGCCTATAGGGATTCAAGAGTCAGTTTTAAAATCTACCTTGTTTCACTATATAAAACGAAGTCATCAGTATTCCGCGTACAAGCAAACCTATAGGGCGTTTTCAAAACCTTGCAACTTTGAAACCGTTTCTGTGACTTAATGTTGTTCTGGTTTAACAGGTTTTAAAAATCAGTAGGCAACTGCTAGGGTCATTACTTCTGAGTTTATAAAATAAACTGCATGCCTTCTTTATATTCACTTAGACATCATGCCTTAGGATACTGTTTAACAAAAGGCCCTTATTTGTGCTTGAGTCGTGCTGCTTATGTGTATTGTTTGGGGAGGTCAACCTGAGCCTCTAAATTGCTCCCTTTTATCTTATGTGCTAAAGTCCTAATTGTTCTTGCATGTCGCCTTAGTATTTTCACCTTTAAAACCTTAGGGGGTCTGTCTAGAACCGCCTATAGGTAGAGGTCCTAAATCCCTCCAGGACCATTAAGAAGGGATGGGTAACAACACGCAATAGAGGTTTCTGACCAACACTCACTTTAAATGACCACTAAGGTGATGAGAAGGGTAGATATGAGATATGATGTCTACGCGCTAATGTCACATGTAGCCCCTCACTGAGGAGTGTTTACCGGATATTGTGTGGGGTGATCCTATAGTCTAACCAACCTAGGACTTCCCCCTTTTCCCAAAATCCCTTTTGTTCAAACGTTGTTCATACAACTTGTTCAAAATTTTTGTCTTATTATTTGAGTTATCCAACGTGCTTTACTTGCAACCTATTCGATTCGACTACTTATTTGCAATGGACTAATTCATGAATATAAGTTCAGCTGGGACCCATAGTTGTGGACCAAGAGGGGTGCCTAACACCTTCCCCTCGAGGTCATTTCGAGCCCTTACCCTAATCTCTGGTAATGCAAACTAGTCTAAGAGTTAATCACTCTAGGTGCCCTAACGCACCATAATCTATTAGGCGGCGACTCTTCAAATGTCCAATTCCAAAAAGGAAAGGAGTTATTAACCCCCATGAATGTTGAAACCCGGACTTCTCTCTCCGAAAGAGGGAAAAATGGGGGCGCGACAATAGTCAGATCTGGAGGGGGAAAGGGCCTAACCATATTTGTTTTTATAGAAATTGAGGCACGAATTCCCCAGGTTCGGCATGGTTCGTAACATACCACCATTGTTGCTAGATTGGTGGGAGGATCTTCTATCAAGTGATAAGAATCATGTGAAAAGGGGTGAAAAGGGTCTTTGGAAATTTGCCTTCTTTATCGAACCCTCAGCCAAACAACATGTTAATCAAAGCTGCTACAATGTTCTAGGACAAAGAAAGAGCCGTGTTCCGCTTTAAAGACATAGAAATGACCCCTATCTTGGAAGAAATATGGGGATTCGCTGGGCTACCTTGGGATACTTCTAGTTTACTGGCGCCGCAAAATCTCACTACTAGGGGGTTTATGAAGATGATGGTATTAGAGAAGAATGATGACTTGGAGTGCATGAAAAGTTCCTACATACCCTTCGACTTCTTCTATGAACGATGCGGTCACAACAGATCTTATCGTATTTTTTATGACAAATTCTCCATCACTTCCTTGGGATGGATCCACCGCAGGGTTTTTGTGTTCGTTGTCTGTTTCTTGGGTATGTTAGTATTCCCGATCCAAGGGTATAGAATCCACACCAGACTGGCCATGGTAACCAAACCTTGATGGAAGGTGTGAGCATGTGATTTTTGCCCTATATGAAATACTCCTATAAAATCCCAAGTAAATAGGTTTCCTATTAATTATTTACCATTTTTAGGAATTTTGTAAAATTTATTAATTATTTGAATTTCTGTGCATGTTTAATTTTTATTTAAATCATGAAAAAGTACCAAAAATATCATGCATTGCATTTAGAATTTGTTTTTATATTTTTTAGAATTAATCAGTGATTATTTGTTTTATAGAAATTTGAAAATCACCAAAATAGCTTATTTTTACATTTTGTCCTTTAATTTTTAGTTTATTGATTTTTTTCTCTTTTAATTTAGATTTAAGTGATGTTTACAAATTTTATAATTAGTTAAGTAGTTTAATTTTACATTTTTAGATAATTTAAGATTTTTACTTATTCAGATTTTTAATTAAAAAAAAGGAAGAAAGAAAAGAAAAAGGAAAAGGAATAAAAGAGTTTAATTGAAGACAAGGGGTTTAATTTAAGTTTGAGCTATGTAAATACCCAATTCGGTCCAAGCCAAATACTTTACCGCCCTAGTCCAAGGAAAATGGACCTGACCCGCCGGTTCGACCCACCCATTTCCCCTTCAAATATAAGACCCCTCTTATAACATTTTCCCTAATACAAACCCTAAATCTAAATGATACAGAAACGGTGCTACTGTTCATCTTCTTCACTGAGCCCAACTTTAACTCGCCTGAAACTCAGGCGAGTTCACTCAAATGGGTCCCCTCCCGTCAACGTCAATTTATTCCAACGGTCTTCTGTCAGAGAAGAAAGAACATCCTCTCCAAATTTGCACGATTTCTGTACGATGGAACGATTTGCTGGATCAATGGGAGCCGTGGATAGATGTAAATCGTTCCATGCCTTCCTATTGTCCCAAAATCGTTCAGAAACGAGGGTATTTTTTGGATTTTTGGGCAGAAACTTCGAGATCTTTGAGGGTTATAAATAAGGTGAGTCTTTTTTATTTTAGTGTAAGGAAAAATTTTCAGAAAATTGGTAGAGTAAAATTTATAGGGTTCTTGAGCTTTTCTTTTATTCCTCAAGCTTGAGTCCGCTTTCTTCAGAAAACGAAAAAAACAAGAAATAAAAATGGTCTGAGTTTGTGTTCTTCATTCGAATCTCATTTCAAAAGAAATTAGAGAAAGCAAAAAAAATGTTTCCAACAATTTTTTTGATTCTGGGTTCTCAAGAATGGAGTTGGATTGAAGTGATTTCTGGTTCTCAAAGCTGTAGATTTGCCGTTTGATTTCCACTGATTTCGTTATTTTTTTCCTGGAATTGCTGAGCTTCCTTTCGAGTTTGCTTCTATCCTTTTAGTCGGTTCATTTAAGCTTTTATTTGTTCTACCAGGTTAGTTTGAACCTTTTCTGTATTATGCTTTCAATAAATGAATGAAAACTGTTGGATTCCTATTTAGTTTTCTTTTCCACTTATTTGTTCAAGTATGACTAGTGTTGATTCTGTTGTTTACCAAACGTGTATTTAGCCTCCATTTGACCGAAACATTTAAGTAACTCAAAAATGAGATTTTTATGTGAATTATTTGTTTCATGCTCTCAATTAGGTACACATCTGGGAACTTGTATAATTTTAAATTTTAATTCTAGCTTGTTTAAATTTCTGTGTCGCTTGGTATGTTATCCATATACCCGTGTTTGCATCCATCTATTGAACTCACTTGTATTAGCTTGGCTTAAACAGAATTACTAACTTCTGCTAGGAAATTATTTTCGTTGTCTTTCAGTATTAGAGAAAGTTAAGACATTGAGGTTGTTTAACAGATGATTTTGATGGAATCAGGTGCAGGTGTAACATTCTTGGCGTTCTATGTGTAAAAGATTACAGCCTGCATCTCTAATTTCAGTAGTTATTGATCTCAAATTTGCAATTAGTTAAAACTTCCTCCTTATGAGTAGTATATTGTGATTTATGAATCCACTATCCAATTAGGTTAATTAAAGCAAGACCGAAATGTTCCTTGATTTTACTTACTAATGAGTGAAAGACTTCCTTGGCACAAGCTTTTCCTCTATAACGTACAACATTTTTGAGTAATTCATGCAAGGATGACATCTGAGAACCCTTTATTCTGGTTTGATCACATATGTCACTTAGTCCAAGCCATACGCAGTTGGATTTGGCAATTGGCATGCAAAGCATAAAGATTAGAATGCTTAGTCTAGCATTATCATTCAGGGATATGGGATAGCTTCCTGTCCTGTGTATGTTAACAAGCAGGTGCCAATATAGAATAAGGAACTCTCACAGCACCTTATTTTATCCGAGTGTAGCACCGCTGTTTCAAATGGAGTGTTAATGCCATGAATTAGTCTTATAATAAGGTTGTTCATCATGTTGATATTTAGGACTATGCGCAATGTTTGCTGGCTGTATATTTGAAGTAACACATTCATCTTTCTATTCTTGTCCCCTTTGTAAAAATAACAAATATCATTGCATATGAAATCCTGTATTGCTATTGTGATCAAATTTTACTTTATTTTGTCTGGTGCAAATGTTGAAACACAATCAGTAGTTGGAATGTGAATGTTGAACTCTAGTCAAGCCTTAGGCAATTGTTAACTTTGTCTCTTCCAAACAATGAATTGATTATGCAATGCTCTTAGTAGTGTGATTTGAAAAGGCCATCATCGACAATCAGATTAAATTTAGTCTTCCTTGTAAAAAGTTCAACTTATGAACACGTTTTAGTTGCTTTAGGTGCGATTAATAATAAATCATTACAATTACGGGTACGGTTCTCGTGGCGTAGTTATGATACCTAATCTTAAATTAGATTAAAGTAGGAACCCCTTAGTTTGCTCTTTAAAAACATATATATATATATATATATATATAAATCTTTACTTAAAATAATTTGAGGTGCACCATACACAAACAAAACTCATAACCCATGGCCCTCACATAAATACAAGATTAGTATAGAGAATGCCTTGAATTTTCGTAGTTTGCTTTAGGCGCGTTAATTAAATAATTGTCATAGCTACTGGTACGGTTCCCGTAACGTAGTTTGTGACGCTTAATTACTAAAATCCGGGAGTACATTTATGTGATCTAGCCCACGATTTAATCTTTAAATAATTTATACTTGTCGTAGATCGTGGGTACGGTTCACGTGACATGATTCGCGATATGTAACAATATTTAATTAAAAGTGGTTTAAAAAGTTAAAAATGCACAAATGGTTTAAAACATGTAATTATTCAGATAATTAGATCAATTTTAATAATTTAAGCGACCGTGCTCGAACCACGGAACCCGGAAATGCCTAACACGTTCTCTCGGGTTAACAGAATTCCTTATCTAGAATTTTTTGTTCGCAAACTTTTAAATAAAGTCAAATTTCCTCGATTTGGGATTTAAAGATAAACCGGTGACTTGGGACACCATAATAAATATCCCAAGTGGCGACTCTGATAATTAAATAAAAATAATCCCATTTTGAATAATGTCACTTTAATTGGAAAAACTCCCTTATATCCCTTCGGGTGGTAAAAAAGGAGGTGTGACAGCCCTGGCGACTCCGCTAGGGATAAACACCCAGAACTTCCGGTTTAGGGTTCAAGAATTCGAGCTTAGAATAACGGTTATAATTGGATTTTATTTATTATCTAATTTTTATTACATGTTTGGGCCTAATGTGCTAAATGTCGCTTTTTACCGCTTTGATATATTTGAACTGTATATAAACTGTTACGAAACCCTTCTCTTCACATTTTCGGGGATGTGCACGATGGCGTGACTCCCCTTTCTACTAGTATCATACCTTAAATAAGAAAGAAGCTCGGACAATTTACAAAGCCGGATGGCCTTTTGGTTCCCGGTACGTAGTCCCCCCCCCCAGCTCGAGTTGTCCGCTCAGGTACACCAAGTCTAGAACAATATACCCAGGTTTTTAAACTTAGAATAACTTAGGCTCATGCCGGATCCCTAGTAGGAACGTTTGTTTGCATCATGTGCATTTGACTTTGGGGACTCAATACAAGGGTTGGGTCCGTCTAGGACAGGTGGACCCCATAATAAAAAGACCATCCTGATGCATTTTCACGTGTTTCTTGTGCAATTATTTGCTTCAGTTTGCAAATAATTGAGGACAGCTGACCGGTTGTTAGAATAGGGACGAATTTGGAAAAATAAAATTGAGGTATGAGAGAGATAATTACCCGCCTTTGAAAAAAAAACCTGTTGTCCAAAGTATACCGAAACTCTGCCGAATTTTTTTTTAAAAAAAAAAAAGAAAAAAAGGGTAGGAAAATGGTTTCAAAATATTTTATTATGTCAAAACTGACCGAACTACGCAAGTTTGATTCTCACCGGATGTGGGATACGTAGGCAACCCCCACCGGGTCCAACTCTATTTTAGCGAAAATAACCCAAAAAATGAAATGTTGTTATTTTGTCTTAAAATTAGGTAATGTTCTTGTCTAAGTAGCCCAAAATATTCCCAAAAAGGACGCCGGAAGGCTGTTTTTGCAAGAATAACCACCTACCGCCCTTTTTCAAATTTTTGGCTACCTAGCAAGCACAACCATAAAATCTTCCTTTGCAAAGTGCTGAAGGGTTGTATTTGCAAAAGTATCCGTGTTATTTAAATGTTTGCAAAATTGATCTCTTTTGTAAAATTTGCTTTGTTTTAAACCAATCACCTTAATTTTAATGTGCAGAATGAGCACGAGTCAAAATTTGCCAATAAAAGTCATGACTAATATCCCTTTGGAGCTGTATATGTGGTGGAGAGATTTGGGTAAATCAGGACGAGATGTGGTCAACCTTTACTTGGGAGGTCTCACCAGGTTATTGAAGATCAGGCCTAGAGGAGACATAATAAAGGCACTGGTTACGTTTTGGGATCCAGGTCACAACGTGTTTCATTTCTTGAATTTTGAACTCACACCTACTTTGGAAGAGATAGCTGGGTATATTGGGAGCACTGAAGCTCTGAGACACAAGTATTTGGTCGCTCCAAGAGCTGTCACTCCACACAAGTTTCTAGATTTGCTAAAGATAAGCAGGGGGTCCAATACCTAGATTTGGCATCTGGTTTTTCCACTCCACAGTTCATATACCAGCGATATGGACACATAGGGGGGGTTCAACAATCCAGAAAGCAAAATGTGCAGCAAAGGGAATCGACTAAAATGGGAGGAACACAGGTGCTTTACTTTCATGGTGGTATTTTTGGGTCTTCTAGTATTTCCCAGAAAAGATGGGAATACTGATGTACGGATAGCTGGGGTCGTCAACACTTTGCTTACTCAGGCCAAAAACACCCTCGCACCCATGAGTGTCTGAAATATTCCGAGATTTCCCAGCCTGCAAAACCGGAGGAGGCCTTTTTGAAGGGTGCAACTTGTTGCTACAGATGTGGATGATTGAGAATCTATGTCATCGTCCTTAGTACATGAACTATGGGTCGACAGGAGAAAGCTGCATAGGGGAGTTTTATACAAGGGTCGTCAGGTTCAACATGCCAGAAAGGGTTGCAGAATGGATATCTTGGCTCCGCTCTGTCACTGCAAATCAAATAGAATGGACGTTGGGTTGGCTTCCTGTTGATGAAATCATATACATGCCAGCTATCAGCCCTCACTTCCTTCTGATGGGTCTTAGAAGTGTCCAGCCTTATGCCTCATATCGGGTTTTGAGACAACTAGGGAAATTTCAAATAGTTCCCAAGGATGAGGACCTTATCCTTCATGCGGTAGAGATCCGTTCCGATGGACAATTTCATGAAACAATGGTTCGCCAGATTTGGAGTGAGTGCCAATATCTGACAGCAAAATACCTGAGTACGTGATCTATCTAGAGGTGAAGTCTCACCTGGTTACCTCGCCTAGTACAAAAGGAAAGTTGAGTTTGGAAGGCCAGCTAAAATACCCCACCTCCAAGAGTTTGTCGAAACATCACAAGAACAGTGGGAGTGGTTGACAAAAGAAAATGAATTTCGGCCGACCATAAGCAGGTTAGAAGGACAGATCAGAGACCTCAAGTTCGATAGTGATGTGCAAGTCACTGCAGATGAGGGTGAGAAGAAAAAATTAGCCCAAGAAAATGAAATCCTCCAAGCCCAGATCCAAAGGATGAAGATAGTTGCTGAGAATCCGGAAAGAAGCCGAGCAGATGAAAAACTCATTCATGGCCTTAGGAAGAAAATATGTGAGTACGAGGATGATCTAGAAAAATTCGAAGTCAGTTTGGCAAGAGCTAGAGCACAATTGGCAAAGAACGCCGAGGGGCAGGCAGAGTTTGTTCGACAACTAAAAAGGAAATATCATGGAGAAGTCACAAACTTGAAGAAAAAGCTAACCACCCTCGAGAATGAGATGGCCAAACAAGCCAAGAGCTTCAAAGCTAAGAGAGAACATTGCTACGCTTTGATGGCACAGCTAGAGGGAGACCTACAACATTTGCAAGAATAGAATCATACTGCCACTCAGGTCTTGGAGGCTAGATCTCAGCAGATTGGGTGTTTGTTGCAAAAAAAGGGCATCATCAGGGAAATGGTTAGAAGAATCGCCGACTACATTGTGATGAAATGCAACGAGTGTGAGGACATGACCAGGTCCATGTTCTTCGCCACAGTGATGATCTTTGTCCGCCAGATAATGGAGGATCTCTATCGCCTCCAGGATAACATGGAACGTAGGCCCGCAGCAAGACCAGTTGGTGTTCCTAGGACAAGAGTGGAGGCACTGATGTACTCCTGATTGTGTTTTCTTTTTCGAGCCTATATTTTCATTCCCTAAAGTTGGTTTCGAGTCTGTTTTAAGTTTTTAATTCTCAAGTATGTAGGGTCGAGTCTTTGTAATAGAGAAAAATTAGAAATTTTGTTTTAATCAAAAAAGTTTGAAAAACCAAAAATTATTTATTTATGTTACATTTATTCCTTGAACTACGTAATGATTTGATTCACACGACGTCGTGATACGTAGGCAATCCTCATCGGATCCGGTCATGATTTTGTAAATAACTCAAATAAAAGAGAAAATGTGGAAAGGAGAGAACCAAAAGAAAAACCGAAAAGAAAAGAGAGAAATCAAGGAAAAGAGAATGAGAACAAGAGAGAAAATGAGAAGTGCAAAAGAGAGAAAGAGATAAACTCGGGGAGATAAACAAAAGCCAGGATGAGACATGCAATCGTTGCAAAACATATAGAAACACTTTTAACTGCATAGGTGCATCACACCCCCAATGTGCGATTTCCTATGTGTTAATTGCTTCAAACTAACCGGTTTGTTGTCTACTGTTGAGTATCAGGTTCTATTTTTAAGGTGGTTGGTTTGTGGTAACCTGGCTCCACACCCGTACTTTATAAGATCAAAAGGCAGTGTAGAAATGTCATCAGAAGGTCATCCACCAACGATTCCCATCTTAGAGGATAGCCCGCTATTGGTTATCCCAACCTCGGAGTCAGTGACAGCTTAAGAGAATAGGGCATTGCGCCTTCGCGTGCTAGAAATATGGGACGCCTAGC